ATTTTAGCAGATACTTTTATTTATTAATTTTATAGGAAAGATTCAACTACTGGAATTGGAAATTTCAGCCCTACCCTCAATCCTGGTTTGTAATTCCCAATCCTCTTATTCGTCATCGGATAAGCTCGAATTGGCTCGAGCTTCTTAGCTGCATCTGAACTGGCTCGAGCTTCTTAGCTGCATCCGAACGTTAATGCAGTTGTAGCCGTTAGATCAATGACTCTACCAAGCTACTGGGATGTGCTCGCATTCAGTGCAAATTCATTCGGTAGAAGAACCCCTAATGTAGTACCACGGTCACAATATATATCATTCCCCAAAACTCATGAACAACACACCACTGATGGAAACATACAATGACCATAATTATTCTCCCTTTTAAATTTGATTCTGCCCATGTCCTCAAATCCATGTATGAAGTATTTCATCCAAACACCCCCAAAGCAAAAACAAAAACCAGGATTTCATTCACAATATATGTAGATAAATTAAAAATGTTCTATGGTTCTACATTTTGGAGTCAGCTACTATATCAACTCCAAAAACAAAGCTTCTTGTTTGCTGGTAAGGCCAACTTCATTCAATGTCAAAGCACTCTCTCCATCGCTGAAAGCACGCCTAGGGAACGGCCTCACCTATTGCAGCAACATAAATAAAACCAAGCAGAATAAGACATAAGGTGCAAACACAAATATCATCTCAAAGTTTGTTTAGGATTTCTAGCATTCATATGCAGTTGTGCTCTTTTTTCTCCATGAACAGAGTTTAATTGATATAACAATTTGCAAAGATTGAAGATACGGGCTTTACTGACACTTCGGGTATTGAATAAAATGCAAACTTTACTCACCACTCTGTAAGAGCCGGGTTTGACTCTCCTGCCAATATCAATGAAGTTGAAAAGAGACTGCAATGCAAATTACAATCCGGTTTAGCAAAGAGAGTGTGCAAAGAGATAATGCAGCTAAAAACAATAACCTTACAACAATTTTACCTGCAGCTTGTCTGTCTTAAGAAATCGGCGGCCATGGCGGCTGCCATCTGGCATTCGCACCATAAGGGTTACAGCATTCTCATCATTTGATGCTGGTTCTTGAGGGAGAGTAGCTTCTTTTGCTGCTAATTGCCTCTCCAGTTCCTGCAAGGAAGAATCATACAGAATGAAGATGCAAGTAACTTCGAAACATAAATCCACCAAGACAAGGAGTCACCATTTCCTGCCCACTGAGAATGAGCAACTAGTGTCCCCAAAAAAAATTGAGAGTAGGGCCCAAGTATGTGTCTCAGTACAAACTACAAAAGTCAGTGAATGCATAACTGTCAAATAAGGGTAATACTCGCCAACCATAATTAGGATTTATCAGACCATCTGAGCAGAAAAGTGTCAATGATCATCCCAAATAACCTATATCCAGCATACTATCCTGAAAATAAAATACTAGAGCCAAAGATGAAGACAAAAAATTCCAAAATATGTGTAGTCTTCTTTTATTCACACTCCATAATAAACTTTAGTTATCAAAGTAATTTTCCATCTGAAATAATGTTAAAGTCTGTATTTTTATTGCAAAACGACACCTACAAAAATTTATAAAAGAGTGGCTCCATTTCCATACTCATTGCTCAACACACCCCTAAATTTCTAACCACTCATTGTAACATTCTTCACTTTTTATCTTATTTATCAATTTCAAACAATGAAAAAATTAAAACAATAAAAGATAAAAAGTAAGAACCACTGGCAGACCATCCCCTGTTGCCAGGCCGGCCACCAGCATGATGCTGGCTGGTGGGTTTTTCAAATGTTGAGGATATTAATAAGAGAAGAAAATAAAATATTCAAGTGACGGGGTGGGATGAGCATACAGAGGGTGGGAATAGGGCCAATTTTTATAAAATTCACAAAATTAAAAAATATATATATATGAACTGAGAAAAATGACCATGTTTGGAGCTAATCATACAAAATACTACTAATGTAGAATAATTTAACAGGAAAGAAAAACTGATGAATGCAAGAGTTAAATGTATACATACGCATATATATATATATA